AACCTATAAGTTTATAACCGTAATTCATGTATATATATATATATATATATATATTTGTCAATGAACTTGATAAATAATAACAATAATCTTTTATTACCACATCATTTAAGATGTGCAAGCCATACTTTGAATTTGTTGGCAATAACTGATTTTCACAATGCACTTAGAAATTCTACGGCATCTAGAATTCACTATCCAGTATTTGACAAATGCACTGCATTGTGGAATGCATCACGGCAACCAAAAACTTCGGGAATAATTCATGATGCTTCAGGTTGCAGTTTAACCTTGCTCTACCAGATGGAATTCTTTATATGACGCAACAATTCAGCTTCTAAAATATAAAACAAAGTTAAACGATTTAAATTCAAAATTGAATTTATGTGCTTTCAAGGAGATCGAATTGGAGTATTTAGAAGAATTTTGTCTTTTAATGAAACCTATAGCAACAGCGCTGGATTATCTTCGAAAAGAAACAGATTGGTTTTATGGTCAGTTGTTGCCTACATTATTTTCGTTAAAACAACGACTGCAAAATCTTCAGGAACAAAATCTGCGACACACCGGTTTTGTTCTCTCTAATTTATTAACTTCTTTGCATAAGCCGTTTGCAAAATTTTTTAAATTGTGTCCAGAAGCAAATAAAGCAATTATTGCTTCATATTTTCATTTATTATGCAAATAAAAATGGTTGCCAGAAAGTTTAGAATCTGAAAGAAGACGCATTCAAGATTTATGTGTTAACTCTATGGAAACAATGGAAACTAATATGTCTGAACAGGCTGATACTACTAATACTAGTGACACAGACGAAGATTTTTTTCATTTTTTCTTGTCCAAAAACAGAAAAACAACAATCTCAACAGCAATTAGAGTTTGTATCATTTTTAAATGACAAATCAAAGTTTTTATCTTCTTTAAACAATTACCCATTTGTGAATAATTATTTATAAGATTTAACACAAGCTTATGTTCTTCTACGGCTGTGGAGAGGCTATTTTCTTTTGCAGGGTTTATTCAATCGCCTACAAGACGATCACTTTCGGATAAATGTTTCCAAAAATTAATTTTTTTAAAAGGAAATTACACTTATTTAAGTGAAAATATGGTTTGATGTTTGATTGATTCATTTTCAATTCATTTTTTTCAATTTTTTTTAGTTTCTCTCTGTGATCAATCAAGATATTCTACATTTATAATACGAAATTGCTCTCTCGCAAATTGTGATAAGTGACACACATTGTTGCTTTTTGTTCAATTATTATGCAAGTGGCTTTTTGTTCAATTATTATGCTGTGAAGTTTATATATTATCGTAATTAAAAAATATTTTGTATTTCAAATAAAAGATTTGGAAGTATTTTGTATTTTGTATTTCAAGTAAAAAAACTAAAAACATTTTGTAATTTGTAATTCAAATACTAAGATTGACAGTATTTTGTATTTTGTATTTCAAATACTTTAATGATGTATTTTGCACAGCCCTGCTAACACCTTATCTTGTATGTACATTACCCCCCTACCCCCCCACCACACACACACACACAGCGCGCGCGCAGGAAATGTAGATCCAATTGGGCAACCTCCACGTGATACAGCTTGGATAATGCTCATGCTGGCGGTACTATAAACTTCAAGCCTCATAACTCGAAAAGTGCTTAATAAAAAAATACTTTATCATAGTATTTTGAAAAGCTGTCGAGGTAAGCTACAAGAAGATGTAATGAAAAATTAGGGTTTCCATTTAAGGAATTGAAGGTGATCTTCACGTGATCTTCAAATGACTATCCAAGGACAAATGGCAATGGCACCATCTTATGTCCTCCTCGAAGTCATAAAACGTTTGTACAAAACATGTTTTTTAATCCCGTGATTTCCAGATATTTGACTATTTAAAATAAAATGGGACATCCTCTATGAGAGTGGTCCACATATACCATACACCAATAACTTTAAAAATATTTGTCGAATCAAAAGTTTTTCATGAGAAAGTTTTATGTATTATGAGGGACCTTTCTAACTACATACGCATAAAGTCACTCCCGCTCCCTCTTCAAGGGGTGGCAGGGGTTACTTCATAATTTCAAATGGAATCTTTTATTATAATATTAAAATAAAATTTATTATGATATTAAATATTAAAATTATGATATTAAAATGTTATATATTTGGATTTTATGGAAAAAAACAAGTAAATTTTATCTGGAACATTTGTTTGACAAATGTTTTTATCTAAAATTATATTATTTATCTAAACATTCAAACTTATAACGTTTTCATTCATTTAATTAGACTCCACTGACAAGTTTGCGTTTATAATGAAAACAAAAATAAAAACAAAGTCCTAGAATATGACTCTAGAGTACTTGATATTAACCGGAAAAACATAAACATATACACATTTATCGGAAAACGTAAATACAAATTTATGTATTTAGTCAGTTTTAAGCTGGTTTTCACGCTATCAATCTCGAAAAGCATGGCTCGATTTAACGTGGAAGTTGATATGTTACTAATTCTGAGATAACGTGAGAAAAATTATCGATGTGCAGTGCAACTATTTTTAGAACGTTATGGTATTCAAAAATCGCGTATAGCGTTTGTTCGTCTAAAAAATCGTTGTGCATGGTCAATTAAGTGCAATTAAAAGACAAAAAGCAAAACCAATGATTAATTAATAATAACAGTGTCAACATTTCCGCGACAATTGAAGTAAATCCACATGTCAGTTAATGCGAGTTAGCAAACACAGCTGGAGTTACATGATCTTCAATACAAAATTCTGAAAGAACAAAATATTTATCCGTATTATTTTATTTTGACTCAAGAACTTTTGGAAGCTAATTATGAGCGTCGTATAATATTTTGCGAGTGGATGCGTGATGCCATGGCAGATGATTCATTTTTGCAAAATATGTTTTTTTCTGATAAAGCACAATTTACCAACAGTGAGCATCTTAATAGACATAATATGCACTATTGATCAAATGAGAATGCTCATTGGATGCGCACCTCCAAAAATTTGATTTTTCGAAGAAATGTAAAAACACGTAAACTTACTTTTGCACTAATGTGTAACATATATTTTTTCTAGATTTTTTGGCTCGAATTTAGCCGTGTTAGACGGGTTTCTTAGAGAACTTTTCGAATGACAGACGTCATACAAATTCTATCAATTTGGAATTTCGTTTCTGCGATGTAATGAATTTTACATTTTTTGTATACTGAATACTATGATCAAATAACATCACGTCAGCTAATGCAGAACTCGAAAGTTGAATATTGCAGAGCAAAAAATAAATACTATGAAGTTAACACATTGTCTGATTGCATGTAAAAATATGATTTTCTTTAACATCGTAATATAAAAACAGCTTATACCCAGGCTAAATAAATGATAACTATAGTAATTATGTTGAAAAATAACTAAATATTCCATTATATATATAATGAAATATTATATATATAATAAACATAAAATAGTGACCTCAGTTTAACTTTAACTTTTTCTATTAAAGCTAAATCAAGGTCAACTTAAAATTTTTTTAATTTATAAACTTTGTATCGTATAAAATTTTTTTATATTTTTAAAAAGTTAATTTTTTTAAATTCAAAGATGTATAGAAACTTTTCTTCTAGTCATCAAAGTCAAGCAACATGAGAGAAAAATGCAATATACTCATAAAAAAGAAAAGATAGTTGATAATAATGTGTAACGTTAATATATCCACGGCCATGGCTTACAGTCTATTGTAAATTAAAACTGTAACGAAAAAAAATGCGAATAAGAAAAGATTGAAAAAATAGTGTTATGTAATTCAAAAAGTTAAAAATACTGACAATGAGTAGAGAAGAGTTTTACTCTAAATCTAAAAATAAAAAAAACAATTTTGTATTAACTTTATTTAGCTTATTTTCAAAATATGTCGCTTAACAAATTATTAAAATAGAATATTTTGTTTTAAAAAAATTGCATATGCAAAATTTTGTAAATAATAAAATTATAAATAATTATCAATATTATATTAACAGAAATGGAAAATTTATTGTTATATAAATATTTAATCAATAAAATTAAACAACATATACCCAGAAAAAGTTTGTAAAATATGAAGACATAGAAACTCAAAATAAAAAATCCAAAGCAATCAGATTTTTGTCACATCAATATCAATTTTGAGTGACCAAAAAATGTTTTTCTAAAGTTTTCTTTATGCAAGATATTATGCAATATGCATCTTATATATCTTATGCAACGTTATACTTTCTATGCGTTATTAAATTTAGAAAAAATATAATTTTTTTAAATGCTAAAAAATATATAAGTGCAATTTGAAAAATTCAAGTTGATTTTGGCATAGTCTTGGTGGAAAAACTCAAAGTCAAACTAAGATTATTATTTTATGTCTTTCTGACAACCGTACAACTTTTATCCAAAACTATTTTCTTAAAAGTGCCTCATTCTAGAAATATTTAAACATGTCATTTAAAATGAGACATCTTGTATGGTATATACAAGATGAAAAATTATAATCTATAAATTAGTATTAGTATTTATCGAGAAAAATATGAATTATTGCATGTATTTGTTTTCATTTTTTAGATGTAGAACTATATACTTTTTTTAACGTATATATAAATCAATTTTTTTATTATTCTATTTATAACAATATTACGATAAGATATTTAAAAGGAGATATTTTGATTATAGTATATTTTTATAATATATTAGTATGTATATTATCTTTATATATTAGTACTTTTCATTATATTTGATGTTCATTATTAAATCGAATTAACTGGAATCTAGCATATCAGCAGAGAGATTTTCGTAAACACAATATACTTTTAACACAACACAAATGTAAATAATTAAACACTTTACTGTCTTAATAATAGGAGTTAGTCTCTTCTTAAATGTCATCTATAACAATTAATAAAATAACTGGTTATTCTTTTACAGAAATAGTGCACGTGATTACTTAGATTTTAATAATAATTATTACGTGACAGCAAGATTATGTCAAAAAAAAAAATAGCCAGACATTCACAAATGATTACAATAAAATTATTAAAGCAAGAATATACTATAAAACTTTTTACAACTCTACAAAATGTGATATCTTTATTTACAGTTTAAGAGATATGGCTGAAAATCCATGTCAGCAAACACACCAGTTACCAACATCAAATTCCACAGTCTACTGTATTGCCGTTGGAAACTTGAGATGGAAAATATTCTGCCATTTCGCTAGCTCTGTGTATTAAAGATTATAATATACATGCATTACAATAAAAAAACTATTACTCTTGTGTTTATTTACTTATCTTTGTGTTGTGCTTACGATAATTTCTTAAATAGTATTCATGATAGATTTTAGTTAGGTTGGTTTAATAACAAATTTCAACTAGAAAATATGTTATGAAAAAATCGAAAAATCTCCTAAATTATTTATTTTTCAAGTATCATACCCTAATATTTTTATACACAGAATAATAAAAAGAATCGATTACATTAAAAAATGTATATAGTACTATTTAAAATTTGAATTGATCTGAAATTCGAAATTTCTAAGAAACGCCTCCATCTGTAAAACAAATGCATATAATATTTGATATTTCCCTCGAAATATATATAATTGAAATTCCATATGTACTATTTTTTTTCTTTACCATACTCTATATTTATACTCTACATATAGTGATTTTAATAGCTGGACTGAATTATAGCTATTTTTTTTCAAATAAAGGACATAAAAATACGTTTTTTTTTCTAAAGATATACCTATAAGGTAAAACTTTTTTAAAAATAGCAACATAAAAAAATTTTTTTACTTAAATTTGTTGTCGTTATTTTGAATAAAATTATTAAAGTTATTGTTATTTTGATTAAAAGTATTAAAGTAAGATAATCAAAAAGCAATTTGTTAAATATTTCATATTTTATGTCAGAAAATTACTTTATTACTTCAAATGCTTAAATGTATTACCATGATATTCTTTTTAATTTTTAGTATATATAATTTTTTATGATTTGAAGTAAATCTATTACATAACTAATACTATGTAATTGCTTTGAAATGTGTAAAAGAACGTAAAAAACATATTAAAACGTTTGAGGAAAATAAAAATTATCCAAAATTTTATATACAGTAGTAAAAGTTCCGGAACGGCCAATTATCTCAGAAGGTACTGGTTTATTGGGAAAATGTTTCAAACAAAAATAGTAGGGCTCAAACAAATTAGTTGGTAATATTTATTTGTGCCTTCGATGACCTTGAAATACCCGGTCAAGATCAACATAAAAATCTTTATTTTTTATTACACATTCTTATAGCTGAAGTCGAGACGTTTTCAAAACACCATAATAAAGTATTTTTTCATTAAGTACTTTTTGAGTTATAAAACTTGAAAGTAACAGTACTGTCGGCATTAGCATTATCCAAGGTGTACCACGTGGAGGTTGCCCAGTCGGATTTACACATCTTATGTGTGTACGTGTGTGTGTGTGTCACAGTAGAGATAAGGACCTCACGGTTCGTCACTCCCATAGCATATTTTTACTTCAAACCTTTTCTGGTGTGATATACACACATACACGCGCACACAACACATACACAAACCACACAAAATGTATGTATATATGTAATGTGTGTATATATATATATATAGTAGTATATATATATATATATATATATATATATATATATATATATATATATATATATACATATCTTTTTCTTTTACATGTCTTCAAATATATAATAATAAATATGATCGATATGTATAATAAATGTCTAAAATAATTGCACGTATTTAAATGCCAATTATACACAAAATAAATAATGTTAACTATTTGACAGAAAAATTATCATTAATTACAGTCACATGACGAATCGATAATTACTTGAACTAATAATTAAAAATTAATCGATAAAAGCAGCGTTGCTTTAATTCCAATTATACGGCCCTGGTTTAAACGACAAACTCAATATTGACCGGCCGGCGCAAGCATTGGCGGCATACTTCAGACAGCTAGATGGATCAATGGATAGGTTCTTACCGTATAAGTATCATCATCGTTCTCATCGTCTTCGACCACGGTAGTCCTTTGATACTCGTATTCTGCCTCGATGAAATCTTTCGAATAACGCACTTTAGGCGAATCCACGCGTACCTTTAAATTTGCCATCCCTCAGGATATAATACGGTAGACACGAAAATATCTAAACAAACACAATCTTCTCTATTGCCGTGTCACACTCTCGAATTCAAATGACCTTGAGCACAAGTTCGAAAAGTCTAGTAAATCTCTAATACCGATTGAAGGATAATATTTAAAAAGAAAAGCCGTCGTTTTCTAGAATTGGTAAAATTTCAATTAATTTCAAAAATTTTAGAGCTATATCGCATTAAAATAAATATAATAATGTTAACGTATAAGAATTATTTTAACGCACTTATTTGTGCAAAAAAGCTATTTTTGTGAAAATTAATAATTGATACTCTGAATTTTTTTAACAACCATGAATTATTCTGACATGTTTATGGAAAATATAAAAACAAGATTTTTAATTTTTTAAGAAAATTGAAATAAGATCAATTCTATGTGATGTGTCAAAAATTCACCGTTGTAACATACCGAAATAGTACCAGTTAATTGATAATCGCACGTGATTCTTCACAATTTACAAGTGCACTGAAAGCGAGACACAAATGCAAAAGGATAAGCCAAAAAGAGAAAAAAAACACAAGTCACGCACAGATATTTAGTCGAGCCTTCTCTCGTGACGGCTGTAGAAACGTAAATGCGATGTAGCGTTGTCAACGTTGTCGAATGTTGTCGTTGAGGATCGAAAGAGGGCTCTACTGAATTCTATACAGATTGCGCCATAACTATCCGAACGCGGAATGACAAAGAAGATGGCAAGTTGACTGTATCTTTTTCCTTCGTAGACATATTAAAACCTCTATCTTTAATCACTATCTGTTTAAAAAATTGATAGGGTCCATAAAAAAAAAAAATTAACCTTTATTTCATCTTGACTTCAAGATCAATTTTTTTTAATGTGACCCTCCATTACAATCTGAAAAAAAAACCTAACCTCGGTAGCTCACTTTGTTCTCGAAATATTTAAGATAGTTCCAACAATTTCTCAATTATTCAAGATTTTATTTAAAATTATAAGAAATAAATGTATGCATTGTTATGTAATATCTTATATTTTTTTAAATTTTCCACCATATAGTTATTAAAATATCATTTAGCAATATACTCAATAATTACTCAATAATATTTACTCAATAATTTTTATAGATTAATCAGACGAAAGTTGGACAATTTTGGGTAAATATTCACATAAGATCAGCACCTCCAAAAGTCAATGACCTTGACATATGTTGTCAAGAACATATCTCCGAGTAACAATCAAAAGGTTTTAGCCGTCGCCCGTTGTTTATTAAAAAGTTATTAAAAAACATTTATTGAATACATCATCGTACACTTTTCACGCAAAACGAGATTCCACATGGGCTTACGAATTTCTACGTAAAGCGAGATTTAATCCAGACCCTATGTGTATAGTTTTTTTATGATAAAGTCTCCCTACGGGGAGAGGGGGGGGGGGGAGAGAGGAATACACTGTCTCCACGTATACCCAGATAACACACAATATTGTATGAATATTCTATGTTGCATCAAATATATTTTTATGGGAATATTCTCGAAGAAAGCATTTATATATGTCTGTAGAATATCCTTGTTTATAAAGAATATTTTATAAACCTACCCAGAATATGTTAAAATCAACAGTAGGAACATATTGTTTACATATTCCATAAATGTTCACTGAATATTCAAATGTACTGAAAATGTACATAGATGGCGTTCAGAATGCATAGCAGAAAATAGATCAAGATTTAACTTCTATCAATTTCTTTTCCGTTTCGCTTTCGTTCACTTTTCGTTCAGTACGTGCGTTGATAGTTCTGTACAATTTAAGCCACAATTAATACAAAGGTGCAGTTAATCCAAAGGTAAGTTTAGATTTTAAGAGTTTTTTAGTAAAAGTAATAAATATTATTATCACTTTTGTGCTATGGTTGCTTAGAATAACAGATTCTTTAACCTAACCTTAAAAGTACTCTCTTTTAACAAATAATTTCTCATTTTAGAAAGCCGAGCAACACTTCTGGTTTTTCAAATCTGTCTTCAAAAATTTTTTTGAAAATAATCCCAGATAGCACATGATATTCTCAGTATATTCTATAAATGTACGAATGTACGGAGAATATACGAGAATATTTTCAGAATATCCTCAGAATATCTGAAATACTATATAATATCCATTTTCAGATATACTGAGAACATGCTCAGAATATCTAAAATACAATATCCATTGTTAGATATACTGAGAATATGCTCAGAATATCTAAAATATGATATCCGTTTACAGATATATTGAGAATCTCCTCAGCATATCTAAAATATAATATTCAATTTATGTAATATTCCTATAGGTGACGGTATATCGAGTGCTGTATAATTTAGCGTTCAATAAATTGATAAAGATTACAATTCATTCTAACCAAGTGTATCCAAGTGTTTCTAACCAAATGTAACGTGTGAAAATTAAAATATTAATATAATTATATTTATAATAATTGTATTTATAATTAATGGTAAGTAATATCAGGAAAACCTTTTAATTATATATATTATTTTAACTTCACAATCAAAACATAACTTAACCTAAAAATTGCAATTATAATTCTAATCTTTATTTATAATCAGAATACACATATTTAAATTGCTATGTGAATAAAATAAATAAATATAACTCTGTAAAATTTTTTAAGAAAGATATAATTATGTTTCAGTATTTAGACCATAAACCAGACAAGATAATTTTTATAGATTTTTTGTCGCTAAAAACGAATCCACTAATAAAATTGCTCTATCACGTCACATTTTAGAGAAAATTGGACCTAAAGGTGCCGAAAATGATACCTTTAGCTTTCATTTTTGGATACTTTTTAACTCAAGTATCTTAAAAATGTGACGTAATAAGGCAATTTTGTTAGCGGATTCATTTTCAGTGATAAGAAATCTATAAGAATAATCTTGTCTGGTTTATGATCTAAAAAAAAAGTTTAAATTTGAATAAGTGCACCATTGAATAAATATTAATTTAGACTGTAATTACAGATGTGGTGAGGTGCAAATACAAGAGTTGTACTGAGGATGAATTCTCAGGGCCTATTAAAAGATGGTTAGCACATGCCAAGGAGAGAATCCAAAAAAATTCGAAATAAAATATATATTTGCTTCTGTAAATTTTATTCTAATTATTTAAAAAGTATCTAACCTAACCTAAAAAAATAACTGAAAATACAAAATAATTTGGAATTGTATTTCTTTTGAAATGGCGGTGCGAAATATCAACCTTTTAATTCTAATACCCCGTAACTGAAAAATCCAAAACAGGAGACATTTTATTTTGTTTTCTATCAATTGATACGTTTTTTTAAATTTGATACTTATCAATTGATAAAAAACAAAATAAAACGTCTCTTGTAAAATTTAGATGTTTCAGTTACGGAGTATTGGAATTAGATTGTCGATATACTGGGTATATACTGAGGATATTCTGAAGATATACTGAGGATGTACTGAGGATATACTGAAGATATACTGAAGATATAACGAGAATATACTGAGAATATTAAAAAAGCGGACATTTGGATATACTGAGAATATGCTCAGAATATCTTAGATATTCTACGAATATTCTCAGTATATTGCAATATACGACTATTGATATTCTAAGAATATCCTCAGAATATTATTGTGCTATCTGGAATGAAACATAGTAAAACGATTTTTTATAGAAACGTTAATGTAATGTATATTTTTTAAGAAGAATGTGTGTAATACTTAATTCGTATCTAATAGATGTAATATCCTGCCAGCATCGGTACGTGACAATTACGTCACTATAACGTGTTAACTTCTCGCACGTTACGTTACAAGAACGTCTCATTTGGTGTTCGAAACGTAATTGTTACGTCATTATTACGTAACAATCACGTACAGAAAATCAGACAAATAGTTAATTAAATTTTATTTGTATGTTACGTCGCGGTAACGTGCGAAAGACGTATCATATTTTTGTGACTTTGTGACCAAAATGGAACGTCTCTTTCACGTATAGTGCTGGCAGGGTAATAATAAAGGTAATAAAAAAATATATTTCAGATTTCTATTGTGCATACAAGCTTCCATAATTGCATCACCAATCATATCCTAATCAAAAATGCATACATTGATGAAAAAAAAGATAAAAAATTAAAACATTAACATATGTCTTATCATATACACATACTAAAAAAGATAATTATGACATAAGATTACAGTTTATATACTTATATGTATTTAATAAATTGTATCGAATACATATATGTACACATATACATATACATATATACAGCGTGTGTCAAAAGTTCCGGGACGGCTGGATAATTTGAAAAATACGCATCACAGAGGAAAATAACATCGACAAAAGTTGTAGGATTTTTCTCGGGCAATCCGATGGTGACCTTAGATTTGGCCTTGCCCGTGAGGGCCTTCAAGGTCATTTCAAGGTCAAATCAAATTTTTTGAATAAAAATCCCTATTTTTGATTCCAAAATCTAATAACTGGTGTCAAGAGCTTTTCAAAACACTATAATAAAGTTATTTTTCATTAAGTACTTTTCGAGTTATGAGGCTTGAAAGTTACAGCATTTTGACATAAAATACAAAATATCTTGTAAAACATTCAATTTTCGGAAATCTTACCTTAATACTTTTATGCACAAAATAATGAGACGAATCAATTGGTATAAAGAAAACACATAGTTGCTTTCAAGAAAAAATATGTAATTTGCAACAAGCAACTGCATACTTTTTTTTAAAACCAATGTGTTTTTTTTATCCTATTTTTATAGCATTTTACACCGAATATTGCAAGGAATCGATTGATATAAAAAAATTAGGATGGTTTTGTTTACAAAAATGAAGACCTTCAAATATCCGAAGCCTCTCCATCTAAGGTCAAATTAATAAGATCAATAAATAGGTTTTTTTAAATCCTACAATTTTTATCTGAAACATTTTTTTATAAAACTTATATTTTTAGAGATATTCTGGAGTTCCGGTACTTTTTATACACCCTGTATATAATATATAAATATATACATATATATATATTATATATACAGGGTGAGGAAAAAGTACCGGGACACCTAAATAACTTCTGAACGGTTTGAGATATCGGATTGAAATTTACAAGGTTACAATGGTATCACACAATCTATCACATAACACCAAAAACGCCCATTTTGACACCCTTGGGTGGCGGGGTGGAGGGAGGGCGAGAAAATTTTAAATGAAATGTGGGGTCGAGTGAGGGTTCGTTTGAAAGAGGTTTTCGAGATGAGAACAACGCGATGTCGCCGAAGTCTCTACAATTTTTTTTCGCAGAGTTATGATCATTTAAACATTGAGATTTCGCAGTAGCGGAGGGCCCACGACGGTCTTGCACACACACACACACACACACACACACACACACACACACACACACACACACACACACACACACACACACACACACACACACACACACACACACACACACACACACACACACACACACACACACACACACACACACACACACACTACACACACACACACACACACACACACACTCGTATAACTTCGTATAATGTATGCTATACGAAGTTATTACGTTCGCATTGATATTCTAAGAATATCCTCAGAATATTATTG